TTGATTATGATATCGATCTCATCACGAACCGGCCTCCCCGGGTTCTAGGCTAGTTCGTGCCCCATTCGGGATCTTACTTCGATACACCACCCTTCGAATCGTACCGAACCTATCAAGACTGAAATCTATTTCGACTGTATACACGGACCTTAGTCTGCAAGTGATTTTGTCTGCAAGTGATTTTATACCGATGAAATTAGACCTAAAAACTTTTACTTATTAATATCAAAACATGAAAAATGCGGGACATTATACAGACCACTTCAAGTTGGTTCAAGGTTGATTCGTATTTGTTTTCTAGAATATTCAGGAAATGCATTTCTTTTGTCTTTTTCGTACAAGTTTTTTTTATTGAATGTATTCGCAAATCTTAAATCTAATGATTTGTTTTTTCATTGAAGAATAAAGCATACCTAAGTTACTTCGGATTTTACTAAAATAAATACAAGAAGCTTCAACTGATCGCAGTTGAGCATTGCAAAGAACGCTTAATGTTTGTAATGTCTGATATGTATCTAGACGTTTGCCTATTTGGCCATGAGAATTATCTCGTTTTTTCATTTGAACTTGAAATTATTTGCAATTCAAAGTCAATCTAACAACTTGATTCATTATTTCAATTTCAAACTTAAAATAGAGAATTTGAATAGTAAAGAGATGACAATTTCAACTTTTATCCTTAAATATATATTTAATTAACTTAGATGCTAGGAGATAAGATGAGACACTGACTTATCTTGAACTCACGTTGGGGCATCTGTCCAACTATAGAGTTTCAGTTATACTTGTACATATTCCTTTGGTAATAAAATTCTTTACTTACAAACAAAAAAAAGGAGATAACAATTTGAATTATTGTGAGTGGGTTTGAATAGTCTTATCCAGTTAGATTTTTTTTTTCCTAGTAATTCAATTGTTAATGTAAACAAATCTAGCTGTAAAAAAATGTTTAGACTAAAGTGAGATGCGGTGAAAAGGAAATTACATGCAGATTCAAAGGATATAAAAATGGGATTCCGGAACCAAGATAATACAAAATTCAACTCGAAAAACTAAAGTAATACGAAAAGAGAAGGAAGAACTAATATACATATGTTAGACCAAAAAAAAAAAACTAATATACATATAGTGCATGCCTGACATGTGCTACACGAGCGTGATCAAACGTCCAGGCTCACGAATGTTTGGTTATGTTTGACTTGTATAACGCATGGCAAGTATACGAATCAAACATGACCAAACGTTCGTTAACATGAGACGCTTGGCCATGCTCGTATAGTGCATGCTTTGATCAAGCATACGAGTCAAATCAGGCATGCACTATATATATATATATATATATATATATATATATTTTTTTTTTTNGTGCATGCTTTGATCAAGCATACGAGTCAAATCAGGCATGCACTATATATATATATATATATATATATATATATATATTTTTTTTTTTATGAATATAATTATTCGAATTGAGTTTTGCGTTACTTAGATCCAAACCCATAAAAATGGAATGAATGCTTAAACTAAGGAATAAATTTCACAAATAGTCATATAACTATGACTTATTTTCATCAAAGTCATATAATTTTATTTTATCACACAAAAATCATATAACTATAACTTTTTTTCATCAAAATCATATAGTTTTATTTTATCACACAAAAATCATATAACTATGACTTTTTTTCATCAAAGTCATATAACTTTGTTTTCTCACACAAAAATCATAAAACTTTCACTAACTCACACGAAAATCATAATGCTCGGAAAATAAATTTTTCGGTAGTATTTTCTTATTTTAAGTTTTTTTTTATTTTTTAATTTTCAGTCTAATAATTGATCATCCAATAATAATAGGAGAAATGTGAGTATATTTTTAGCCGCTCCCAAAAATAATAGTTGATAAAATATTTTATANAATAACCCAACCCAGCCTGACCCAATACCCATATACGTAAGTTAAAATAATATTAAAAGTGAATTCTTCCCCATAAGAAACTTAGTTCGGAATGCATGAGATTCTGACAAAAAAACAAAGAAATAAAAGGTATAATTAGAGATCACTTGAAATTAAAATGCTATCAATTTAAAAATCTCGAAAAGAAAAATAAAAGATAAAAGTATCATGTTTTGAAGGATTTACTATTTACTTTTAGTATTATTTTAAGGATATATATATATATGAGAATATTAGGTCGGGTGGGCCAGGTCGGGTTCGGTCACCCCGATTTTAATTGGATTATTATTTATTAGACAGAAAATTAAAAAAATAAAAAATCACAAAATAAGAAAATACTACTGAAAAATTATATTTGTCGATCACTATATTTTTGTGTGAGTTAGTAAAAGTTTTATGATTTTTGAGTGAGATAACATAGTTATATGACTTTGGTGAAAAAAAATTATAATTATATGATTTTTATGTGAGAAAACAAAGTTATATGGCTTTAATGAAAAAAAAAATCATAATTATATGAATATTGTGAAATTTACCCATAAAATAAGTAAAGATGTAGCTCGTTTTTTTCCCTCGAGTAAAACTATAGAATACCACGGATCTCGTGGAATCTGAATTATTTTACTGTACATATATTCTCTCTAAATTTATACCTGTTAATCGGGCCGGGCTGCCCCGTTTATAACCCGGGTCAGTCCGGATCAGCCCGGTACTGTAGCGTGGGGGGGCGGGCTAGGACGGGTTGGGCGGGGAGCGGGTTTCAAACGAACAGTTTTTTGATATCGGTGCACCGGAACCCGCTAAGCTCGTTAACCCGTTAACGGATTTTTAATGGGCTACAACCCGGTTCAGCCCATTTTTTAACTTTTTTTTGGGGACCGTTGCCAACGGTCAAATTAAAATATTGTAAATTATCCTACTATTGCAAATGGTTTAGTTCATATTGCTGAAATTTCTCTTTTATTACATAATTTGAAGAAGAAAGAAGGATATACTTCTGTTGTTGAATCTATGCTAGATAAGTTTAAAAAATATTTCTACCCAATTCCC